AATACATTAATCCAGAAACAACTGCATTGTTAACAATAATTAGTGTCTTAATTAAAGTTGTTCTCTGTGTTCTAAAGTATATAGGGTAGAATTTTTATAAAAAAATTCCACAGGGTTCAAGAATGCGTCACTATATAATAATTTTAATTATTATTTTTTATTTTTTGTTTACTAATGTTAAAAATATAAAAATATTTTCAAAAAAAACTTCACAAAATTTTCGATAGCTCTCAAATTATGTGCAAATCGTTATGACAAACAACTTTATTTAATGCACAAAAACTGATTCACATATAAAAAAAATCAGATTTAAATGTAGCTACGATTATTAACTAATTAGGTTAGATCGTTGTGATTATTAAAATCTGGTGATTTTTGTCAGAAAAGTGTACATAATGGCTAAATTTGAACCAGGGCCAAGATCGGTGAACTGAGCAACTAGGTTCTTTAGTGGAAGGACACACAAGCCAAACTACTGGGTACTAGACACACTGGAGAAAAAGAGCATATGCTTCGAAAGTATGGACCAAGAGGAGGGTGTCTTTCAGACACCTAAAGCCTGAGAGACTGACCCTTCTGGGTTGCTAGCTGGAAGTAAGAGAGAGACCGATTAAGAATCTGGGTAAGAAAATTGTTGGATTGAGATACTAGGGTTGTTGTGAACCTTGCAAAAGCAAGAGTATGTAATGGATGACTAATTAGGAAGGTTGTGTTTGAGATACAAATCAGGTTATGGCAGTATCCCAAAAGTTGGCTTGAGATATGAACTCGTTGGCAGCAATACAACATGTACTAGTTAGGAAGAAATTACCAAACATGCAGTTGAATATATGTGTGGAACATGTACCATGCTGTTAGGTTTACTACAAGAATAAATGCCTTCTGTTGTTGGCTAAAGTTTTAATATCTTAAATGATAAATTGTTTCTGTAAAAAAGAGACATATTAGAAAGAAACATGTAACATTGGTAAAAGCCAGAAAGTTTAATTAGATAGCTTTCTAGTTAGGCTATAAATATAATATCTAGTGTAGAACCCCTAGCATAGCACTAATGCTTCGAGTGGACTACTTAATTAAACAACCAAAAATTGTATATGTAACTAGTTGTACTTTCGTGATACTAATATAACATGTGGTCTATATCTTCAGACATTGACTACTCGCTTGAACTAATAAAGTGCCAGAGACTATAAGTGGTCACTTTAATATTTAAAAAAAATCAATTGTACAACATTTGGATATAAGTATTAATAAACTGTTTAAAAATAGATTAAAGAAAAAGTGGTGTTTATAGATGAGTAATGGTGAATTTGAGTTGACTAAATATAAAAATTTAAAATGACCATCATAAGGTTTAATTTGTCAATAGATTTTAGAAATCTGGGATGATCTTTCTGCAGGAATAATTATTAAATCATTTAAAAAGTGTGGTATTTCAAATGAATTGGATAAGACAGAAGATGATTTGTTATATGATTCAGATAAAGAGAATAGTGATTTAGATAATAATAAAGATTCACTTGAAAAAGTAGATGAAGATAGTTTGTTTGCTAAAGAATTAGAATTAGAAGATTAAGATAATTTTGTTATATTGTAATTGAATATTAATAAAATTTTAATAAAGATTAATATTATATATAATAAATTTTATTATATTTAGTAATTTTTAAAAAAGGGGTTGCTTATTTTATTTTTTTTATATTTTAGCAGTAAAATCTAGAGGGTTGCTTACATTTGGAACTTTATGGTAATTTTTTTTATTAATTTTATTATTTATTTTAATAATTTTTTTTAGAATTTAAGCAAAAAAATAGACAAGAAACGACAACAAATAAAGTGGAAGAAATAGGGGAAAAACAGGATAAAAACAAAGATGAAAATGACAAACATATGTAAGAACCTATGAAAAATTCACTAAAAAAACTTTCACAATAAATTTACCAAAAAAAGAACTTACTAAAAACCAACCAAAAAACAGCAAACAACTACTAAAAAAACTTGCCAAAAATGGCAAACTTGCTAAAGAATCCACCTAAGAACAATAAACAGAATTTACTAAAAAAGATCCACAAAATATAAAGAATCTAAGAAACGAAATATGAGATAACAAAGAGCTTAAAGAAAAAAAAAAACCTACTAAACTATCAAAATAACAAGAAATCTAATATCATAAGCACTAGGCCATTCTTTGTTAATCAGAATTCATATATTTCTCAGCCAATTCAATATAGCATTTAGGAGTTCTAGGTGCAAACTCTGGGCACAATCTTCTACAAATATCAGCTCCAAGTTTAGCATTAAATTTATGTTCATTAAAAGGTCTTTAATTATACCAAACCCATAAATATTACCACTAAAAAATGACAACTGAAAGATTTACAGAATCTAAGAAACAGAATATACAAAGAACTAAGGAATCTATCACCAAAAAATAATAAGCAAAACTTACTGAAAAATCTACAAAAATACAAGAATCTAAGAAAAGAATACATAAAGATACAAAGAACTTAAAAGAAAAAAAACCTACTGAATTACCAAAATAACAAGAAATTTAATATCATAAGTACTAGGCTATTCTTGTTAATCAAAATTTATGCATTTCTTAGCCAATTCAATATAGCATTTAGAAGTTCTGAGTGCAAACTTTGGGCACAATCCTCTACAAATATCAGCTCCAAGTTTAGCATTAAATTTATATTCATCAAAAGATCTACAGAATTTAAGAAATAAAATATACAAAGAACTAAAAAATTCACCATTAAAAAACAATGAGCAGAATGTATTGAAAGATCTACAACAACAAGCAGCAGGAAGGGCAAGCAGACTTTTTTTTATACCAAAATTTTTGGGGTACTAAAATTTATTTTGCTTCGTCATTTGAGTGATGTTTGCTTTGTCGAAGATGAGATTTTTTGACACATAGCAATTATATTGGTATCAAAAATTTGTCATCACATAGGCATAAAAAAATGATCACGACACATTGATATTGTTAGTTATTCCATCTTATAATACTTGAAACCAGATATATGTAGTTAACAGATAGGATAATTCTTCTCTTTTTATGTACTAGAGAGAAAAAGGTATCAAAATGTTTCATGTCACTCAAAGGTGGGCCGATTTCAAAAATTTAGTTGCATGATTAAACTATTTATATAAATTGTTGTATACTAATTTAATATTTCTGATCAGTCTGTAAGAAAATATCTGATTAAGATTATAATATCCTATTCAGCTATCTTCGAATTCTTTTTAGAAAGTTGAATTTAATAGCAAAAATTTATACCAAAAATTTAAATACTATAGATGCAAAAAAATAACAATCCCAACATATTCTATAGCATTTTTTGTATTTTTTGGTACTCAGATAATAAAATTTTTTGCATATCATAGATAGAGTACCAAAATTTATAAATCAAATTTAATACAGTTATATATCTGATTAAAAACTTATTTGATATATACTTTTTTTCTTATAGATAGCCTATAGTATCTTTTTTCTGAGTATTGGGGTAAAAAGTAAATTTGATAATCTATTTATCATTTATTAGAGCCTTTTTTTTTTTTTTTTTTTTGTATATTGCCAACATAGAAACTTTATTAGTTATGATAAACATCTTTTTACAGAACAATTGATATACAGTTTCTAATTATATTTGTGCTACTTTTACTAGTCACCCAATGTGGCATTATACTCCTTATTTTCTCTATATTACTTTTCTATTAACTATTTCAAGCCAACTTCAAGCTAAAGTCGGTTGGAGCAATCTACCATTACATGTCCCATCTATGTAATTATTTTCTGTAATTTTCTTTCCAATTAGTACATATTGACTGCCATCATTGTGTTCGTATCTCATGCCACCTTTTGGGGTGCGGTCATAATACAATTTGTATTTCAATTTCAACCTTCTTAATTAGTTCTCAATTACATACTATTATACAAGATTTTCTATTGTTATCTATTTTTATATTATTACACTCTTCTATCTACTTTTTGTAGCAACCTTATAATTCTCCCAAATTGGTTTATTCTGGCGGTTTTTCACTCTTTTTGCTCCCATATTGGTATATATAGCCTTCCATGTATTGGTACTATACAGCATGGCCAGATTTATCGAATCTCCAGTTGTTATCTGCAGTATATCACCTACTTTATATAATGCTTCTATAGTTAGTATGATTGACTATAGTATAGGCACCGAAGCTTCCCAATATAATTATATTATATGGGTGTACTACTGATGATTGTTTTACTTCTAGCTTGGTATTGCAAGGAGGCCTGGAATCTTAATTTATAGCGCATCAGTATGACACCTATCATTGACATTGTGATATATAGTGTTTACTTATTAGTTTTCTAATTTTTCAATCTTGTGTGCCAGAGGTGTTTTTTTATTTGGTAAAGCCATCCTCTTACCACAGCCCCTTACTGTATTCGCCACTTCTCTCACTGCTTCCTGATATACTGCATTTAGCTGTCCTCCTAATCAAGATCTCAAGACCGCCTTAGGGTTGTTGGTGCTATCTAGCCAATTGAGGATTTACATGCACAGCCTTATGTGGTATTACTTTCTGTAATACCATGTCACACACAGTGCCCAGTCTTCACTATGGCTCAGGACTCCTTCCAAGAATTCTTTATAGGCCAAATATATACTTTATATGGCCTTATTGTCACAGGGTTTCATATTCAAAAGCTCCTGTAAGTTACAGAGATAATTAATTAAATTAATTACTACCAGCTATAATCGAACCATTGACCTTATCTGTAGAGGGTTAAGCGCCTAGACCACTAGGCTATAGGACCCTAACCCTTCATTAGAACCTTAGAATATAACCTCTGATAGTACTGAGAGACATAAAACCATAGGGTATTGACCAGAAGCTAATTTTGTAAGTCTTCCATATTCATTACAAGGAATATGTTGTTTATCAGCTAATTTTTATATATATTTTCAATAAATAGAACATCTTTCTTTGCGTATACAGGTCTTTCCACAAATTTCACCAAAATAATAAATAAATAGACAACTATACTCACCATGCATAATATAAGATTTTTTATACAAAATTATTATTTAAAAATAAAATTTATATAAGTATTATATAGTAAATCAATCAATATATATATTCAAAATGGTAGATCATAAAAATATCGAATTAGCTTTAGTTGAAGTGATTAAAGTGGCATATACTTTACAGAAACTAGCTATTTTTTTCAATGGAGTTAAGATTATCTCGATATTAATAAATTTTTTAATAATTATAAAATTATTTTACAATAAATTTTTAGTGTAAAAATTTTAAAATTGTTCTA